TGCTCAGGAGGCAGGCGACAGGAAGGAAATGAGGGTTCTCAACACCAGAAGAAAAGGCCATTTCCCCCCATGTAATAAATACATGGCCCTCTTTGAGTTAGCAAGGTTATATGGATGTAGGTAATAAAAAGTGGCTCAGGAGTCATTAATTCTGAGGTACAAGTTTCCCTTTGATGCGTTAACTGCTACAGACGTGGAATGTTTGCTCTCTTTTTTCTTTTTTGCACTTGTTTCCAGCTCCTGCGCCAGCCCGACACCTCTCCATCCTTGCATCTGGTACTCTTTTATTTGGGCCTCGCTTGTGTTAGTGCATTGGCTGCCTCATCTCTGTTCGTCCTCAGGCTTCCCAGACTGTAACAAAACGTTTTCTACTGACACCATAAACTGCATGACTGCTGCCCCGCGCAGCGAAGTCTCTGTGCCCGCCCGCAGACGGGGCAGCAGGAGGTTTCTGTACTATAGTCTTGCACTCTAAATTTTAGACTTTTTAAGCAGGTGAAAAATAGAACTTTATTTTTAAATGAGGCACTTGTTCTGGGAATTCCTTTCTCGGCCCCGGTCTGGTTGGGGCTGTGGGACAGCGCTGAGGCGTGTGGGAGGGCACAGGACTGCTCCCACCCCTCGCTTTTCTTCGCAGGCACCAGAGAGGGGCAGGGGCGGCGGAAACCGCCCGGGAGACGGTTGCCAGAGGTGTGCCCGTGGTTTATTTGAAATAAATTGTGACTTTCTAACTTCGGCAGTGTCCCGGCTGTTCTTATCGGTGGCGCGGGGAGGGGCGGGGGGAGCTCGCGTCGCTGTCCCCGCCCCGCTGTCCCCGCCCCGCGGTGACGCAGCCCCGCCGGGCCGTTGCCGTGGTGACGCGGGGCCGGGCGGGCCGGGGCGATGGCGGCGGCGGAGGCGCGGGCCGAGGGGCCCCCGCTGCCCGGCCCGCCGGGGGGCCGCCCGCGGCCCGTCTGCTCCCGGCCCTACTTCCTCGTCCTCATGGTCTTCGCGCACCTCTACGTCCTCAACGTCCTGGGGCTGCTGCTCTTCGTGCACCTCAGCGCCGGCGAGCCCGGCGGGCCGCCCGCCGCCCCCCCGCCGCCGCCGCCGCCGCCCGCCCGCGCCCTCCCGCGCCTCGAGGGCATCAAGGCAAGGCCGCGACCGGGGACCGGGGCCGGGGCCCGCCGAGCGCTGGGCGCTGACCGCTGCTCTCCCCGCAGGTGGGCCACACGCAGCGGGTGGAGCTGGTGCCCGGCAGGGCCCACGCCGTGCGCACTCTCAGCCTCAAGCCGCTCCTGTTCGGTGAGTACCGGCCCCGCCGGGGCAGCGGCTGCCGGGCCCGGGCACGCCGGTAGCGGGGGGGTTTCCGCCCTGCCGGCGGGGCGGGGGCTGTGTGCGTGTCTGTCTGACACCGCCGCTGCCTTACACCCACCCGGGGGAACATGACTCCCCGCGCCTCGGCATCACCGCCCGGTGCTGATGTTCCTCGGGGCTGCGTTAAACTGAGTGTGGTATCCTTCAAGGTATGTTGATGTTGATACAAAATTGGCAGAGGTTACGTGTTCTGGATGGCCCACTTTGAAGAATTTGGAAGATGAACCTTTCCAGGTTTTTCAGGTTTCTGTAAAATACTAGGAATAGAACAGCAGATCGCTGGCAAGAACCTTGAAGAAGCTGCTCAATACAAGGAAAAGACAAACTTTTGTTAATAAATTATTAAAAAACAATTTAGTATTGATGCTTCAGCACTGAGGAAATTAATAACAGGAGAATTGATAGATTTAAATTCTTCCACCATTTTGTGTCCTGTTCTAGATTTATCTCTATTTTTGGCTTCTCTGATGCACAACCACACAACATCTGCCTTTCAGATATTTTAAAATCTTCTTTACCTTTCTGTGATGCTTTGCTGTCACTGGTCAAGTCTCACTAATTGAACTCTGTGTTCTGGAAAGTCACTGACAACATGCTAAATAATTTGAGGGGTAGGAGTCAATCATTACAAAATTCCTACTATTGCAAAGTCAGAGAAAACCTGTTGTTTCTGAAAAGATAGCACAGAGAATCTTTCAGATTCTCAATAAAGGGATTTTTTCTGATTCCAAATAGATCATATACACTGAAAACCTCACCATGAATTTCTGTCTGACATTCACTAAGCAGACACACCAACCTTGAGCTGATAACCCCACAGCATCACAAAACTGGTGTCATTTCCACAACCACAGTCTGAGCAATTGCTTTGGTTCTCACTGGGGAAAACTCCTGTTTCCTCTTTCCCTGCCTTTCCAGTACCACTGAAGTGAAACAGTTGGTCCTGGCCCCTGAGGAAGGTGCTGAAGATGATAAAAGGCAGGTTTGTCCTGGCAGCAGTAATCCTGCAGTTTTTGGCTTCTTGTTCCAGCACCTCCATTTGTTTTGAGGGAAGCTTTGCTCCCTGAGGATGCCATCACAGACAGTGACGGACATTCTCCATTTGAGATGCCATGAGTCTGTTCTCCTTTGTCCTCTGATAAGGAGTCCCTTATTTAGAAACTGCAAGTTGCAAGACAGTTCTTATCTCCTGGATGAACCTGCCAGGAGCCAGCTCTGACTTTAAAAGACTTCCAGAGACTTCTCTATCTATGCAAGCAGTACCAATATATTTCAACTGGTTTAAAAAAAATTCATTGTATCTCTGTTACTTAAATTAGTGGAAGTGTGTATTTAACTTAATTGTGTTTGGTGAATACAGAAGCCCTTAGCAAAGACTCTTGAGTTTCTGGGGATTTAACACAAAATGCTGCAGCATACAAGAGCCAATTTAAGGAAACAGGAAAGTGCCTGATCTGTCATCTTTGCTTTCAGCAGAGCAGGCTGCAGTGGGACCACAGCAGCAGACACTCATGAATGATTTAATGTGTTCTCTGGGCTTCAGAGCATGGGCTGGGCACTGTAGGGGAACTTTAGGTTTGGTTTTTAGTTGTGGCTAAGTCACATCTGCATGGAACCCAAGCATATTTTATGGAGCTATGAAAAAATCCCTGCCCTATTTTCCCCCCCTCTGGCTACAAGGCATCATTTCTAAAGCTTGTAAATCAGACCATCTGTGCAGTTTTCAGTTGGGAAACTCTAGTAATCAAATAACCCTACTAATGGAAAACAAATCAGACAAAGCCTTTTCAACCTTCAGAGCTTTTATGTGTTTTGTTTTCCAAACGCAGTCTGTTCAGAAGATACTGCCATTGCAGGGACCACCTGACAGCAGATTCAGTGGATTGGGCAGCAGTTTCTAAGACAAGACAGTGGAGAGGAATAAAAATAGGAAATTTGGTTGTGTTTTTCTTCTGAGCCTCGGGGAAGAGAAGTAAGCACTGCACAAATGTCAGGGCGTAGCTGAATTGCAGTGTGTGTGTCTGAGCGCTCCTTCCAGCCCGCACCCGTGTGAGGAGGAGCCCGCAGCGAGGGCTGCTGGTGTGCCCTGTGAACACGGGGAGGCGATGTGTGCCCCGTGAACACCGGGACAATGTGTGTGTGCCCTGTGAACACCGGGACAATGTGTGTGTGTGCCCTGTGAACACCGGGACAATGTGTGTGTGCCCTGTGAACACGGGGACAATGTGTGTGTGTGCCCTGTGAACACAGGGACAAATGTGTGTGTGCCCTGTGAACACGGGGACAATGTGTGTGTGCCCTGTGAACACCGGGAGGCAATGTGTGTGTGCCCTGTGAACACGGGGAGGCGATGTGTCCCCAGCAGACCGATGTGTCCCCAGCAGACCGATGTGTCTCCCGCAGACCGGCTGTCTCTGCACGGCGTCACCAGCAGGGCAGAAAGCATTCCTCCCAAAGGCTGCTTTTCCCGCTTGTTTTGGTTTTTTATTTCAGCCACAGGTTTCAACCGATATACAAAACTTTCCATGGACAGTGCTTTGTAGAAATCCTACTTGTTTCCTCATTTGGGGGTTTGCTCTTTTCTGCTCTGTGGTCTGGAGCACAGAGTGTGCCCCTGCAGGGAGTGACAGTCCTGCTCGAGTGAGACAGTGAGCTGCAGAGAGACTGAGTTTTCCGATATTTTTCCCATATTTTCTATCTTCCTTATGTACAGATGGAAAGCCAGGCAGCTGTGAAAGGTTTCTCCCCTGCTCCCATATCAAAACTGCAATATCCTACTGTGCTTGGGCTGGAAATCACCTCCCAGTCCCGAGCAAAGCTGCTGTTCACACCAGAGCAGAGCTTTGAACAGCTGATGTCTCACTCCTGCTCTGCTTTTCTCAAGGTTCTTGTGATATCCCCAGTTACCAGAATCTTCTGATCCACACTGAATTTCTGATGCTGAAAAACAGTTTTTTTCCCTATTATGTAGAAACCCTCAGCTATCTGCTCTGTGCCTTTCCTGTTTGAGAATGGCTCAATTTCCTTTTGCTCGTGTGGATGCTCATCAACTCTCAGTGCAGGAAGCTGAAGGGACAGCCTGAATCAAGAGCAGACTTGAGCATGCAGTTTTTAAGGGGCTGGACATAGCCAGGGTGGGTTCCTCTCCCCCTTAATTTACCTCAGACTGTTCAAGAGTAAAGTATTTGCTCCATTACGTAAAAACTATCACTTCACAGTCAGGGAGACTCATGTAATCTCTGGACAGAAAATAAGCAGGCACTTGGACAGCATCAATGTCTCAGGGTAAAATAATGAATCTGAAATACCAGCTCTGATAATGAGAACGAGAAGGAACTGTTATTAAAGGTTTCTTCTAGTTTGTCCTCACCTGCATAGTTTTGTTGTGATGTTGGATCCTATGCAAAGCTGAACATAGCACATCCTGGATCTACAGAGCATTGTGAGAGGAACATGTTAAACCTGCATCCTTAAGCTCTGTCTTGGTAAAACAGGGATCTGTAGTGAAGCCCTATCTGTGCACTATGAATGCTTCAAATCACCTAGAAATATCACTGTACATCTCCAAAACACCACCTGCCAGGGAAAGGAGTTTTCTAGCCATAGGGAGGGGAGCAGTTTCTTGTTGCTGGAGTTGAGCTTTTTCAGACCTTCCATCCTGCCTGTTCAGGGCAGCGGTGATGTTTCCACCTCCTCACTGCCTGGTGCAGGTTCCTGTTCCTCTTCTGCCAGGCATAGGCCTTGTTCACCACCACTTTGTCACTCTGCACGTCACCACTGACAACGAAGACCCCTGCCTGAGTGCCTCGCATGATGTTGTGGGCGCAGGTGGCGTCTATGTCCAGCCACTGCTGGAGCCTGGCAGGGATTTCAGTTCTGAGCAGTGGGCCGTGCTTCAGCACCTCCACTTTGGAGGGGTCCAGGTCAAAGTCTGAGATGGTGGTGGTGGTGTTCCTCCTCAGGATTCGGATTTTCACTGCTGCAGGGGTTGGAAAAAGAGCTGTGAGTTCTGTTTACTCTTCATAGCTCTCTCCTACCTCAAGACATAGAGCCAGCTCAAGGCTTCTCTGTTGTCTCTGTAATGTGAGGAAGTATCTCTCCAAGCTTTTCCAATTGCAGTGAACTTCTAAAAGTTCTCATTTGAGGTTAGTCTCCAGTACTGAACACTGTTCTTAGAGTCACAGAATTATTTAGGTTGGAAAGCACCTCAGAGATCAAGTTCAACCACTGACCCAGCGCTGCCCAGTTCACCACTAAACCATGTCCTCAAGTGCCACAACCACGTCTTTCAAATACCTTCAGGGGTGGTGACTCAAGCCCTTCCCTGGGCAGCTGGTTCCAGTGCTTGATAATTCTTTTGGTGAAGAAATTTTTCCTATTACCCAATCTGAACCTCTCCATTGCAACTTGAAGCCATTTTCTCTTGTTCTTGTTACATGGGAGAAAAGGCCTCCTTCTCCTTCTCAATCCATTTCCCTTCTAAGAGTGGCAAAGATGTATCAGTACCACTGCAGAAACCCTGGAGGAATCATGGGCACAAGCAGGCAGATGCATCAAAGTCCTGGTCTTGTGCAAATTACTTGACTTTTCTCTGAGCAGAGATTTCAGGAAGTGACATGAATGACAGCTGCTCAGGATTTCTAACCTTTTTTATTGAAAAATATCTTTATTTTGCTATATGTGTGCCTGTATTCAGGACAGTATCTTGAAAACTTCCTGCCATGTGATTGAGCAGCACCAGTGCTGCTGCTTGCTTGGGCTAGGAGAGGAAGAGTCACAATACTAGAACAACACTATTAAAGTTTGAAATAGCTAGTGTGGAATTTGCTATAGATTCTTATAGGCACTGATTGAAATGTTTGTCTGCAAGGGAAAACTAGAGTACTGCTTGTTTTTAGCACTCACAGACCAAAACCAAACCAGAGCCCACAGAAATAAATCAGATCTTCACTTTCAGTGCTGCAGGAGCTGAGTCCTCCTGCTACCTCACAGGTAAGGTGGAAACTGAAAATCCCTGGGATCTGCTGTAAAAGTTGCAGTTTCTCCAAGTCAGTGTGTTATGGCAAAGCTATTTTCTGTCCATGGCACTGCTTGTCTGCTGGAGGGAGTGGTGGCAGTTGAGAGGAAAAGGAGTGTACTCACCAAAATCATTTGCACAGAGACTTTCCAGGATCTCCCTGGCAGTGCTGGCCTCCTCAAGCTCACAGTCCTTGCAGCTGGCTCGGGGCACTGCTGCAACAGAAATGAGGTTAGAACACCCTTGTCAAGCTTCACTGGAAAAGGCACAATGAAATTTTGAGATCTGCAACTGGTGGCTTGCTGTTTATTAGTGATGCTTCTTCCTAAGCTACCCAGGCCCTGGAGAGGTACCTCAGACAGGCAAGGTGGGAATTATTAGACTCTCCTTCCTGTGAAGGCAGACACTGCTTGTCAGTGCTTTGTTCAGGCTTGTGTGTGTTGCTGCATGTTAAAGCAGCAGTGAAAATGCGTAATGAAGATCTCCTAATTTGGATGAAACAGCAAAACCAGTGGTATGGCCAGACTCCATCCAGTGATGCTGAAATGATGTTGAAATGTCTGTTCTCCCCTTAACTGCTCTTGAATCTCCCCAGTGTTCATCAGGATCTGGGTGTTAATTGAGTCCTTCAGACAGACTTTTTTCCAGTGTAACTCATGTCTGCAGAGGCTCATGTCCCTTCATGGTGTTTCTAATGTTTAGAGAGAAAGCTTGCAAAACATTTCTTTTTGCATGTTTTTAAGCCCTAGACAAGCTGAAAGATCCAGGCTGCAGCTCCATAGCTGCACTGGAAGCACATCTCACTCACTGCTGGGAGTCTGCACTCCATGAGCTCTCCCACTGTGCCTGGGCCGGAGGCTTTGCAGCCTTTCCTCCCCCCTGCCCCAAACCCTGCGGGGTCTGATGGCACCCAGGGAGATAATGAATACAGCAGAGAAAGGAACAAGCCACAGCCAATGTTATGCTAATTTTCTATACACGGTTCCCAGAGAGAACAAAACCAGAATTTGTATTTTTTTTTAAATACAGCTTAAAACCAGAAATATGCGGAATAGAAACAAATATGCAGAATAGAAACAAGTCATAGGATCATCCTTTTGAGCTTTCAGTGTTATATATGGGAAAATACATGAAGAAAAAAAACCTCTTACTTCTCTTGCTTGAGGAATTTTCGTCCACGGAGACTGCTGCAATGCACAGCTCATGATCTGCAGGGAACTTGTTGCAGTTGAGGATTTCGGGCCAGGGGTAGCCGTAACAAGCCATGACGGGCGCACAGCTTCTCTTGACGGCTTCGCAGAGGCTGCGGCAGGGAAAGATGAGCCTGGGGAGGGGATGGGCATTCAGCGCCTCCGTGTGCCTGCCCGGAGGCTGAGGGTCGAGCCCTAACACTGCTGCCTAACAGGGCTGTGCGAAGGGTTAGCAGGCAGTTTGGGGATCTTTGACTTTTTTTTTGAACATTCATGTCCAGGAAGTAAGTGAGGAACTTTTGAGGACAGGAGGGATGAGGCAAGCTGCCAGAAGCCCTTCACCTTAGGGGTCTTCTCTAGTTGTGCAAAGACTGCTTACCTTTACAGGTGCCTGATTAAACACCAAATTTCCTTAGCAGCTCTGTACTTTGAGAATTGCACCAAAACTGGGGATTTCTTTCTACTGCTGGAACTGTTGGGAAACTGAGAAACCATATGTTGGGGGCAGGAGCTGGGGTGAGGGGCTGCACAGGAGGTGGGAGGTGGAGCTGGTGTGTGCCAGCAGCTACTGCAGTGTATGAGGGGCTGGCCAGGGCATGTGGCAGCAGTGCCTGGGGTGAGAGAGCAAAAGAACCCCAAGGAGGGAACGTATTTCTGCTCCTGTGATGTGAAATGCTCATGTTTTGCTTTCAGAGGGATGATCCCTGCTGAGTAATCCAGTTGTCCCTTGCCGAGAGCAGCAGCACTGCTTGTTGGGGACTGCACAGATCACATTGAATGCATTTTCTCTCGGGAGGCACACGGAGTCATGCTCCTGCAGGGAGTTAACTTACACTGAAATAACTCATAAAAGCATCTTACCTGTCCAAACAGATGGGTGCAAAGAGGGAGCAGAGGAAAATCCTAGCGTCTGGGTGGCACTCCCTGGCTAGCAAGGGCAGCCAGCTGGAAGACTGCTGGATGACTTCTGTCATGGTCTCATGCTCCAGCAGGTTGGGGATCCTCATGTCGGAGTAGCCGATGTCGTAGCACAAGGCCATGCGCTGAGGGATGGGCATGCAGCTGGAGGATCTCCTCAGGTAGCTCGCCCAGGCGCCTGCAGAGCCCCAGAGCAGCAGGCGGGCCAGGAGACCCAGCAGCCACGGGCCACCCAACCTCCAGGGGTGCCTGCCAAGGGACCTGACCATGCTTGGAGCGAGTGAACCAACAGCACACCCCGGACTGAGCTGCTCCTGACTGTGGAATGCCTTTTATAGCCTACGAGCCACCTCTTTGTCAATCCATCCTCATTAAGTGCGGCCCTTTCAGAGCCCTCATGGGGAAGACAATGCTCCAATTTTCATTTGCCAGAGGCCCCGATTGTTTGTATTTTAGCAGGGGTTTGGCTTAGATCAGCAGGTGTGGAAATGAGGGCAGTTGGGGAGGGGTGAATGACTTGGCCCATGTGTCTTGGGGCTCTTTCAGCCAAGATTGAATCTCTGTTTGACACCAGCGCTCCAACCCATCCCCTTTCTCTTGCTCCAGGATTAGTCATTATTTCATAAACCGTAATGTTTTCCTCTCTTTTGTTTTTTGTAAAAGCAATCAAGTGTTGCTTAAAGTCAATTAGGAGGCATTTGTTTAGCTGGATCTATTGTTGAGCAGGCAGGGAGATAGGATGGTCTCACAGCCACAAGTTAACTGTTTGGGAGAGCTTAGGGCAGAGAGGAACTAATTTGCAGCTGTGGAGCCAAGTTGTTTGCAGACAGATTTGGCAGCACTCAGCTGGAAACCCCTCACCTTGCAACCCTGCGTGACCACACACTTTCCAGTTAACAGAATTCCTGCTTCATTCTGAAATCCCCTTACTGCCACTGAAGAATGGAATTGTCCTTCCTCCAGCATGTAATTAAGGTTCCATCAGCCATCATTATTGTAGCCCAGTTTGGGGAACTGGAAATACTGGGGGTGTTGGTTGCCAGTGCACATGGTTCATTTGGACTTGGTGCTGTGCCATGGGGTTCAAACTGGTCAGTAGAAGCTCCAGCTCTGAAGCATCCTCTGGCACAAGGACCCTGTGCTGCCTGTGGCAGAAATTGTTTCCTTGGAGTGTGTTATGGATACAGCTGGCTGCATTGTGTTCCTGGGGCTTCCCAGGAACAGCTCATTTTCTACAGGGCTGGTTCTGGTCTGTGCTTAGCAGGAAGCCAACTGCTTATTGACAGCTTGAGCCGATAGGGTTGATTTCAGGTCATGAAAGTAATTAATTTTTCCCTCCATTTGAGGACTGCTGCTGTAGTTGATCTATAACATGTCCTTGGCACATACCTGCAGGAGCTCTAGGGAGCTGCAATTTGGAGAGCAGGACCTTGGGTCTGGGAGCACTTAACCTGTCCTGCATTGGTGGTTTTCCTTTCCCTTTTCAAAAGTCTCAGCAGCTCATGACAAGGTCACCATAGCTGTGACAGACACCAGCCAGGAGGATCCTCTGAACCTCCTGGGCCACAGTGCAACTGTGCTCTGGAATGGGACCTTGCCAGTGCTTTCCAAGTGTGTGCCCAGTGTACCATGTAGCTAGAATTCTCCCAGCCTCATGGCCATCCATGGATTTCTCTGCACTTTAATTTGCTTGGGATTGTGGAATTGCCTGATTGCTGCTGGGTTTGTGCTGCAAAGGAAAGCTGGAGATACCCGAGTATGGAGTCTGGCATCATCCACATCCAATATTTTCCTCTTTAACACTGCATTTGAAGACCATTTTTAGTGGGAGAATCAAGAGAATGAGTGGGAGTAAGTTAGAATTTTTCTCCTTTCTGTTTGAGTTTCATAATAGAGCACTGTGCCATGCTCCCCTGAAAGGGATTTGGTTTTGTGCAAAGTGCCATCCTCTCCACATGAGAGCAAGGAAGTCTGAAACCCTGGCCATCACCACTGCCCACTGTAATGATTTTTGGCCTCCCTTCCGGTAAAGCAGCAGTTCCCAGACTGTGATCCACATGGCACCTTTGAAATGGTAATATGCACTGATATGCACGTGTTTGTTCACTCCTTTGTCCATTGTGGTATCTGTGAGAGAGTTTAAGGGCTTGACCCCAGGATCCAAACATTTAGGAACTGCTGCTATAAAAATACCTGCCTCCAGCAGCTCAGGTGTGTGGTGTATGCTCTTTGAGAGCCCTTTTGGTAGAAGGGTGGATGTTTTTGAAAGTCCCAAACTTAGTTCCTAAATGTTCCCCCTACTTATTTTGATTTTTTTTCCTGAGAGTCCTGCTACCAGCATGGGATCCCACTGCAACAGTTCCTCAGTCTCTGTTCCTGCTCACACTTTTGCTGCAGAAATCCCTGACTTCCTGACAGAGGAGGAGTGCAAGCTCATTGTCCATCTGGCAAAGCTAAAGGGACTACAGAAGAGCCAGATCCTACCAACAGAGGACTATGAGGAAGCCATGGAAATGATCGAAATCAGCCAGATGGACATTTTCAATCTGCTGGATCACAATCAGGATGGGCAGCTGCAGCTCAAAGAGGTAGAGTGTGGGCAGACTGGGGAAGGTGTGCTGGGGACCCTCTGGCACATCCCCTCATCAGATGCTTTCTTGGTTACTCATGTCTTGGGTGGGGCCAGACCCCAGGATATACCAATCACAATTTGCTTAATTTTAATGCCTCAGAATTTGTGCTGGCCTTCAGAATGGAAGCTTCTGGGCAATGTGCAGCAGCTGTCATGCTATTGGGAGGCAGCAACAGTCCTTGGCAGCATATTTTGAATATGCTGGATAAAATGTTCCTGTGCTGTGGGTTGTTGCCTCTTGCTGTGTGTCCTGGGAAGTGAGTTTGTCATGTAGACCCTGCTTTGTGCAGCTTGTGGGGAACTTAGTGTGTGAATTCACAAGCCCCAGCAAAGCCACCCCTATTGATGAGCCAAGGGGAATAATCAGCCTCTTGTCCACAGCTCTTCAGCACCCTTGCCCTGCATGGCAGGGTGCATCAGGGCAGGTACTGACAGTTCAAGTGTCTCCCTCCTCAGGCTCCCATTCCAGGTGAAGCTGGGAGTCTGAACCACCCTGTGCACCATGAGTGCTGTGGAGTATGGGGAGCTGTACCAGTGACAGCCCAGGGCAAGGCTCCTTTCTCTCAAGGTCAGCCTGCTGAGAGCTGTTCAGGCTTCTGCCTCTCTCTGTTCATGTTGAAGGGAAGAATTTTGTTCCAAGCCCTCACCTTGGACAAGTAAAAGCATTCACTCATCAATATCAATATTATCAATAGCTTTACTTTCCCTTCAAGAGAAAGCTGTGCTTTCTCCACCTCAGGGCTGGTTAACCAAGTCCCAGCAGTCATTTGCCATGACCTAAACTGGAAATAACAGCACTCATCAGCAGCACTCTGTGTGTGGCTGCCAGATGATTCTCACTGCAGTCGTCTTTCTGCAGAAATGTGCTGATGCCTGTGTGGCTGATGTGCTGTGGAAGAGATCCCACCAGGCCTCCTGCAGGGAATCTGTAGGGTCTCAGGAGTGCAAGAAACCAGTGGGTTTTTTTGATCCATTTATGAATTTCAGGTGTTGACCCATACCCGACTTGGAAACGGCAGGTGGATGACGCCTGAGAACATCCGGGAGATGTACACAGCGGTCAAAGCTGATCCTGATGGGAATGGTAAGAGCAGCTCCATGGAAATCCCTCTACCCTCAGCACTTTGGACACCTTGCACAGCCATATGGGGCAAAGCAAGAGCTGTGTCCCTGCCCAGGCCTTTTTTTCTGGCTGAATTCTTTGAAGGGAAGTAGCACTGCCCTAGACACCTTCTCAGGGAAGTACATGCAGGGTAACCCTCTTACTGCAGCACTCCTGCATCACCACTCTAGTGGCTAACTGGTCCCACTACCTGGGCTTGGATCTTGCTGGAGCAGGACCAGACCACAACTCTGCACTCCCTTTCCCCTGTCAGACCTGCCTTGGTTCATGCCCTGCTGCAACAGGGTCTTAGGATCTTCTGATACAGAGCTTTTGTTACCTGGGATGCAGGTGTTCAGGCACACATTGCATGTGCCCCCGTTTTCAGGGAGACCTTTGCAGCAGGCCAAGAGGCCCATGTCACTGTGAGGGGAGAGTGGAAGAAGTGGAGGTGGGGGTGATCTTGTCTGTCAGCCTTTGGGGCTGAGTCCCCTCTCTGCCGCTGCAACCTCTCTGTATCCCATGAGGCCACTCCTGCCCCCAGCCTCCCAAGGGCTCCTGCTGGTCCGGACATACACTCTAACCTCTGCTGCTCTAATTAGAGTGGCCTCAATTAAGCAACACTCCATTTCCTAATCAAATTAAGTGAATGCACAGTCTCTTCCAGTGACCTGGCATTGAGAGCTGCCCAGGAGGTGCTGCTTTGGAGTTGAAGCAGTAGCAGTGTGAAAGCATAAATATCCGGAGGGCACCCTGTGCAACTCTCCTTCAGGCTGGTGGCATTCTTGGCAGGGGTCTGACTGAGTCCTCAGTGGCTTTTCCACCATTCTGGACATTAACAAATGAAAGGTCCTGTTAAAGGGCTATTGGCAGGACCTTGCTTCCAGAGTGCTGCTTCTCTCTGTTGTTAGATTGGTACATGACACTGAGAGACCAGGTCACAACCTGGATGTGGCACTGCGTCATGAAAGACTGTGGGAAGTAAGGGGAAGTGCAGACAGAGAGACACTAGGAATAATAACAGTGGATCATTTGGTCATGACCTGAGGATATGGCACCTGAGGAACTGTCCTTGGCTGACCCTTGTGGCTGGTCCTTCCTCCTGCCAGGGGGTGCTCGTGCCCAGGGAGCAGAGCTGGCACCCAGCAGCACTGGGTTTGCTGCCTGAGTGAGCTCCTCTCCCAGCCCAGGGTGTGTGCAGGGCAGCCTAGGGCAGTGCACTGCTTGCTGCTATCAGGGAGCTGTGCAAGGCTTCGCTTCTCCAGAAAGAGGAAACAACAAATGTAAGGATTTTCCTGATGCTGAGAAAGAGTCCACCCCTTGCTGATTCCAGCTGAGTGCAAACAAGAAATACCTGTTTTAGGAGAAACCGCTTTATACTTCTTGCTTTTCTCTTACTTCTATTTACGCAAGACCATACTGTCATCCATTCCTCATTTATGTTTTGAAGTTACACAAATGCAGGAGAATGTACTGCTTGTTTTGGGTTTGGCTTTTTCTTAATTACCCTGCAAGATCATATAGAAAATGTGGTGTGAGGTCCCACTCTGTCCTTAAGCATGTTGATTTAAATATCTAAATAATAAGCCTCAGGACATTGGGCGGCACAGACTTTCTTGTGCATATCAGAACTGTAGTGTCTGTTTCTCTCTTCTGATACATTGACTTGTGGGT